AAAGCCCCGCCCCCCCGTTTTTTTTTTTTTTTTTTTTTTTTTTTTTTTTTTTTTATACTGTTGCCCGAATTTTGGCCCAAACCGCTCGAACCCAACCCTCCGAAAATTGAAAGTAGCCGTTGGATCCAAATTTTGGGAGAAAAAAATCAAATTTTTAACCCAAAAATTTCCCTATAAATACCCCCCATCCCCCACACAAGGGGTGTAAATTGGCCGGGTAGGGTCAGGTTGAGCCAAAAAATTGAGCCGACCAGATCAGTGCGGGTTGAGAAAACTTTGGGCCGCAACACTCTCTTAAGTCTACAAACCCGCAACCTTTCGGGTGACCTCGGGTAGGCTCGGGTTACTCGGGTTGTTGAAAATCAATTTTAATCTATGACTTCATACCTCTTTTAACAGTCCAAAAGCATAAAATCCATAAACAGTCCATAAGCATTAACATAACATCAAACATACTTCTTAACAGTCAATAAAGTCCAGAAATAAAATTAATACATCAAATAAACAGTCTATATAAAGATAGTCCAGCAAAATAGGAAATTTAGTCCACTCCAAATAGTTTAATCCAGAATAATAGCACATTCATTCCTAACTTGCCCCTCATGTGTTGCAACAGAATTTGACAAATCTTGAGAAGAAAACATAACAAAAAAATCATCAGAATCAAGTTTAGGACAACAAAATAAACAACAAGGAGATGAAATAAAATTAAAAAAAAAATAAGTAAAACGTAAAAAGATTACCCGACTCAATATCTTCATATTCATTAAAGTCTTCCACGTCAATAATGTTGATGTGCTCACGACTACACAACCAATTTTGTGTACAAATCAATGCCTCCACCATCTTGGGGCTCAATGAACTCCTAAAGGGATCGAGGATGCGGCCTTCGGTACTAAAAGCAGATTCTAAGGCTACCGTTGAAACAGGAATGACAAGAATGTCTCTTGCAACTAGTGAGAGAACCTTGTAATTAGTTGCATTATTCTTCCACCAAACTAAAACATCAAAATTTGACCGAGTTGGATCCTCTATATGGTCTGTCAAGTATCTGTCCATATCATTTTTGTACTCATTCACATTCTTCTCCTTTATTTTCCTAACAAAGGAGCTCCACAAACACCCTTTTTCTTCTACTTCCGTTTTTACCTCTGTTGTACTTGTTGTTGTCGCCTCCCCACTACTTTCATTAGCTACAGATCCACCCTTGTCCCCACTATAAACCTCATGCAGCCGGTACATAGTATCCTTCACATTCTTTGCTAATATTTCAGAAGTGAAAGAATCATACATTATAGAGAAACAATATGTCAAATAATCCATTTTGTACCTAGGATCAAGTACAATAGCCACAAAGAGAAGATAATTTATATTCTCAACATTCCCCCAATACTTGTCATACTTCTTTTTCATACTCACAGCCATGAATGAAAGCATTGAATCCTCTTGTTTGCTTAATTTAGATAGCTGGTTTTGCATCTCACAAAGCTCATGAAAGTAAGAATTTGAAGTGACATTCAAAGTGGCACTAAACTTCAAAGTTATATCATAAAAAGTCTTCAGAAATTTCACAAACACCTTAACATTCTCCCAATCATCATCAAGTGGTGGGCCAATCTTCCGTTTCCTCCCTCATCTTCCCGAAAATAAGACACAAACTTGTCTTCCTCTTCATATCTTTCAAAAGCTTTTTGAAACTTAATGGCTGCATCTAACATCATATAGGAGGAGTTCCATCTAGTAGGGACATCTAGGCATACGAGACCTTTGTATTCAATTTTCTCTCGCTCCACACATGACTTGAATTTCAGCAACCTAGCCGGAGAAGACCTCACATATCTCATAGCGTTACGAATGGCTGCTATGGAATTATGTAGGTCTTTTAAACCTTCATTGACAATCAAGTTCACTATATGGTCACAACACCTAACATATAGAAATTCCCCACCTAAAACAACCCCTTTCCACCCCTTAATCTTCCTTCTCAAGTAGGTAATCATAGAGTCATTTTAGGAGGCATTATCAATAGTCATAGTAAAGACTCTCTCAATATCCCAAGCATGCAAACATGACTCAATGACTTTACCAACACTCTCTCCCTTGTGGCTTGAAATTTGACAAAAGTTTATAATCCTTTTTCGAAAAGTCCACTCACTATCAACGTAGTGTGCAGTTAGACACAAATAATTAATATTTTACAAGGATGTCCAACAATCAGTTGTTAGGCAAATCCTTTAACTGCCCTTACTAAATTCAGCCTTTAGTTTCTTCCTCTCTTCCAAAAAAAGTTGGCAAATGTCCTTAACAATCGTAACATGGGAGGGGATAGAGAACCTAGGCTGCGTCACTTGACAAAAATTCTTAAATCCTTTACCTTCAGCAAACCTAAATGAAAGCTCATCTACAATCACCATTTTTGCTAACGCTTTTCTACAATGCTCCTTGTTAAAGCCTATAGCAACAAGATTACTACTAGTTTCAGTGTTTGTTTGGAAACTCAGAGTTCTTTGCTTTTTTTTTGGATCCTATATGGGTATTTCTTGCATTGCTTTTCTATGTGAACCTTCATACTACTGGTGCCATGTCTCCTACTATTACACGCATATGTTGCCCCAAAATAGATACACTTACACCTAGGCTCATTTGGATCCTCACCCTCTATGGTTTTGAAATGATCCAAAACAAGAGACTTTTTTTGTGACTTCTTCCTCTTTTTATTGTGTCCATCCTCTTTAGGCACATGGGTAAGGTTGGGTGTGGGAGTGGGCAAGGTAATGGGCTCTTTAGGCACATAGACAGAGGTTGAATTTTTGGTCTGGCATTGGTCACTTTCTGTTTCAACAGAAGACTTGCAAGTACTTTCAGAAGTTTGCGTCGAGTAAATGATAAATTTTTCCATCTAGCACACAAATTAACCTAAAAACAGATAACATATGATTGAGACTAAGCGTAGAGATTAACCTAAAATCAATTCATCTCAGTTCTCATGAAAAACATAATATTTCCCAGATTGAGACTAACCTTTATGTTTCAGCCTTACCTTCAATGAAGATTGCAGTCTTCTCTTCACTCTTCTTCCTCGGCTGGCCTGGAAACAATAACGATTGCCGTGAGATATAATACAAATATACTGTAATTGGAGGTGAGATACTAACCTTTGATCTGTGATTGCAGGTGTGTCGGCTAAAACAGACATTACTAACTTTGGACAAAAACTATGCCGCACAATATGAGAAAGATACATGTATAACTTAAGTTATAAACAAGTAACAATATTTTCAGTTATTGAATTCTTTTATTCTAAATTTTAGTGGCATTTATTCTTAAATTCCTATTGCAATAAACAGACAAGTGAACATTTAAGGCAACATATAGTAATAGATGTAAATAGGACTTGTGGCAAAACCTAAATAATGTATATCCTACCCCTTGTTTGTGCTTCCTGTTATTGAGTGAGTATTTAAAGGATGATCCTTGGTTGGAGCAACTTTGTAGTCATCTGAGGTATAGCGCTAAAATTATCCTATTCAAGACAACTCTTACTTAAGAATTTTAGTAGTTATGCAGTGAGATAACCATTGTTTTCCTTATTGGAGGTGACTAGGAAAGCATCAGAAATTGAACTTGTACTAAATGCCGCAGAAAGTAACCAAGGTTTTACTGCCTCACAGGTATAAAGTCCGGGATGCAAGGTCAATGTAATTCTTTTATATTCCCAGAGTAAAAGAAAAACTAGTTTAACTTCCTTTCGTTGATAAAGAACAAGCATGAAGGAAAGAGGATGAGGAATCCTCAAAACAGAAACAAAATACATCAAAAAACAAAAGAGGCAGAACAAAGAGAAGAAACAAACTAAACGAACTCTTCAAGTTTTGACAAACAAAGGCTTACATATATATCCATACACACACACATAAACCTACAAACACAAACATGAAACCCACCCCCCCCCAAACAGAAAACATCAAAAGGAAACCGAAGCACAACCAGAGCAAAGAAATGAATTCTTTTTTCCTAAAATCCATCAATCAAGAGAATAATCCGGTGATAATACACAGAATAAAACTGGAACAAACATTAACCCACATGTTGATAGAATCGAATAAAGAAAAAAAACACTGAGGCGGTGAGGGAGGGGAGATCGACGGAGGCGAGATCGAGGCTTGGGAGAGGCGAGGGAGGCTTGAAGTGAGGAAGGATTTGGGACTCAGGCGGAGGCGAGGTTGAGGCGACTCAGGCTTGGGAGGCTTGAAGTGAAATTGGAGGGGACCCAGGGTAGGGGAGGCTGCGTGCAGTGCGAAGATTGGGAGTCTGGGACTGGGAGGAAGGAAAACTTAGGGTTACACAACTTACACTTACTAACTCGGGCGGGTCGGGGCAACTCGGGGTGAAATGTTGCCCGGCCCGCGGCCCAACCCACAATTTGCGGGTTGGGCCTATTTAAATTTGAATTTTTAAAAAAATATAACCCTATATTTTCGAGTCGGATCAGGTCAGATCGGACGGGTTAGTCAGGTTCGGACTCAATTCTTACACCCATACTCTACACATTATATAATAGTATATTATAATATATATATATACAATATTAAAATATATAATAAAAATATTTTTTGGGCCATTCGGGCTGGCTCAGGCTGCCCGAGCTCGTCGGGCAGCCAAAACTAGGCCCGCGGCTCGTCCACGGGCCTTCTTAGGCTCGGGCGGGTGGGTTGGGTCGAGCATTGAGTTCAAAATCAATTTTTTTAGACGGTCACGGGCGGCCCGTCTAAAATTCCAACATTGACCAAAAGTAATCTTTAATTTAAAAGTGCAAATACATGTCTTTTTTTGTATAGAACGACGACATTTTGAAGAGAGCCGCCCCACGAGTCGTTTGAATAAACGACAGAAACTTCGAAAACAATAAACATGTATTTGCTTTGTCAACAACCCAAACTTTAATAACTGCAAGCAAACCGCTTAAAAATAAAAAATCAAGCAATCAGCAAGAAATTCCAAGTAAAAGAGAAAATAAAAATCTCTTTGCAAGAAATCCTGAACAAGAAAAGAAAAGAAAAATTTTCAGCATAAAACGACGCATCGTTAATTTTCTATGACGCATAATTTTTATCTAAAACGACATAAAAAAACCGACATACCACATTTGTCAGAGATTATTACGACAATAACACATGAACAATTTCACAAAAATAAATAATTATTAAAAATAATAAATAATAAAACAGCAGGGTTTAAGCTTTTCCCATATTTCCACCGTTAACCTCTCTCTGCGCCACTAGGGTTTATGCCATTGCTATCAATTTGGGAGCTTTAATTGATCAGCAAAAAAAAAAAAAAAAACTTGGGAGCTTTAATTTGGCGGAGGCTCTCAATTCCGCAGCAGAGCACATCGAAAGCTGGACAAAAATGAAGGTGAAAGTCATCTCTCGCTCCACCGAAGAATTCACCAGAGAACGAAGCCAAGATCTCCAGGTCCGACTCATTCTTTTTATATCTAAACTCAAAACTTTCTTCTGCTTCAATTTATTTCTCTGAAATAATTATTTTTTTTATTCAAATTAATTAGAGGGTCTTCCGTAATTTCGACCCCAATATCCGAACCCAAGAGAAAGCCGTCGAATATGTCCGAGCTCTCAACGCCGCCAAACTCGAGAAGGTAATTTGAGCTGTTAATCTTAAATTTGGATTTATTTGAATATTTGGGCATCTGTTTCTTTTTTTTTTTTTTTTTTATATAAATAATTTCTGTGGTTTGCTTAGATTTTTGCGAGGCCGTTTGTTGGAGCCATGGATGGGCATATCGATGCTGTCTCGTGTATGGCTAAAAATCCAAACCACTTGAAAGGGATATTTTCGGGTTCCATGGATGGAGGTACTTTGATTTTGATTTTGATTTTGCGGTTTTTTTTTTTGTTTTGTTTTGTTTTGTTTTAAATCACAAGTTAATGCTTTTAGCTTCTGTTTTGGCATTGACAAAGCTGATGAAAGTTATTAACAAAGTTTGTCATGTTTGAACTATGTGGTTAACGAAAATGCCTGCCCATTGCTATTTGAAACTCAATAAAAGATAATACACGCTCTCTCATTATGCATAAATAGAACTGCAAAAAATACTAAACCTTTTTAATCCATTGAGTTAGTGTGAAATTTTTATTTGCAAAATGACTACGGAATGACTAGGAACAACCACTGGTCGTTCTTTGTAAAAGTGAAAAAGGTCATTTTGCCAATTTCACTTTGTAAGTTAGTCATTCTAGCAAAAAACATATTAATGTACTGATATGTGGTTTATCATGTCTGCAGATATTCGTCTATGGGATATAGCTTCCAGGTAATTTCACAAGTCTGCTTTTATTGAATATTTTTTATGCATTTGTATTATTTGTGCTTTTATTGCTATATTGTGCATGGTGGGTGGAATTAACATGCATTACTTATGTTGGTTAAATTATAAAAAGGCGAACAGTCTGCAAGTTTCCTGGACACCAAGGAGCGGTGAAAGGTGTTGCAGCATCGACGGATGGACGCATCCTTGTTTCTTGTGGCACTGATTGCATGTAAGGCATAATATCTTAAATGTGTCCATCGCGTAATGTTTGTTATTCATTTAAGCTTAATCATAGGTTTATACATATATTCTTTAATATACATCCATAGTGTATTTTACTTGGAAAGGTTATTTACTGTTTTTTGGTCATGTATCAGTGTCAGGCTCTGGAATGTTCCTTCTTCTTCTGTTATGGAATCAAATGATTCATCTGATAAATCGGTTCAGGTGGTACCTGCCTTATTTTATCATATGTATTCCATGGATTCAATGGATTCAATGAATGCAACTTTAATCTTATGCCTAGCTAACTAGTTATGATTCATGTTTCCAGCCACTGGAGGAATATGTTTGGAAGAATGCATTTTGGTAAGTATCTAAATGGAATTCCTCTGATTTTGCACTTTCTTAGGCCGCACAATTCAATCTTTTTGCTACAGTGTTTTCTCTCACAAAAATTTGAATTTTAGTTCAAGTTTTCCACTCGAGCCTGCAAATAGAACGTGGCCTTAGTACTTAATGTACTGTGGTCTGATTTCAAGTATATACTTCTGAGGTTTGTTTTCTTACTATCAGGGCTGTTGATCATCAGTGGGATGGTGATCGTTTCGCCACTGCTGGAGCCGGAGTACATATATGGAACCACAATAAGTTCTGCTTCAACCCTGTTATTCTTTTATGTAGTGATAAAGTTCTCCTTTGGTTGTCTCATGACAATATGCCTCTGATTTATAGGTCTGCACCAGAAAAGACTTTTGAATGGGGAACAGACACAGTTATCTCTGTTCGATTCAATCCCGGACAGCCAAATGTCTTAGCAACATCTGCGACGTATGTATAGGAAGTTGTTAATTATACATTATCTTTTTATGCTGTTTGATTATGTCATAGAATTCTTCTTCATTATTTAAGATGGTTCCAATTTAAGGTCTCCACTCATGAAATGTGCTGGTGTAACCAACCAGTATATACCCTAATCTTTCTGTTTTATTTCTGAAATTCTTTATAAACATATTTTGCCTCGAAATAACGTGTTTAATTTCCCCTTGCAGTGACCGCAGTATTGTACTGTATGACTTACGGATGTCATCAGAAGTAACAAAGCTCATAATGAGGGTAATGATGGCACATCACATTTTGGAATTCAGCATGATGATTTAGTCCTTGAATTTGAAATTGGTTTCAATATGTTATTCCTTGACATCAAGTGCTGTAAAGTGTTGATTTTTGCGGCTATTTTGAAAATTTGATCCTTATTTTATTTTATCTGACAGACGAGAACCAATTCTATTGCTTGGAACCCGATGGAGCCAATTAATTTCACTGCTGTAAGCATATCTATTTGAAACTTGTCTGGCTAAAATATGTTATCTTTACAACTGTTTTTGTCTCGAGGGAACTGTTATAGAGTTTGTATACTTACCACTTTGAGGGTTAGGTTGTTCTCATCTATTGCTGGAATAGGTTGATCTAACTTGCTATCGAGTACTGACCAGTTCAGTTGTTTTTCCCGGTCACTTTGTTTTTGCTAATTGAATTGAGAAAATTGTTTTTTCCCGGTCACTTTGTTTTTGCCTTTTTGCTATCGCATGCTAGGATATGTTAAAGTTTGATTTCATTTTATAGAATTCTCTTATTCTGAAAAGGCATATCACGGTTCTTTGATCAACCAGGCAAATGAAGATTGCAACTGCTATAGCTACGATGCCAGAAAGCTGGATGAGGCTAAGTGTGTGCATAAAGATCATGTTTCTGCAGTGTACGTAGCTACTTGCTAATTTTACATGTAATACTATTTTACACAAACTATATTTACATGTATAACTTTTTCTTTATTACGTTTTTTGCTTTTCCAGGATGGATATTGACTACTCGCCAACTGGTCGAGAATTTGTAACTGGTTCCTACGATAGAACAGTGAGTAGCTTGATATGAATATAGTATGTTCCAAACAGACATTTTTATCGTTTAAAACGATCCCTCATTATCCCATTAAAATTTTCCTGGGGCAGGTACGAATATTCCCGTATAATGGTGGTCACAGCCGGGAAATTTATCATACAAAGAGAATGCAAAGGTTTGACCAGTTTTTCTTTTCTAATCAGCAATATTTTCTTCCCTTTTTTGGTTTTCCGGAATCTGGATTTATTGAAAGTTTTATGAATTTTTAAGCATTAACCTCTTTTTCATTTTTGGAATAACAAGGCCAGTAGGTGCTACATTTTAACTGAATCAAATGAAAATTGTGCATGTGTCCTAGGTTTTTTTGTTTGTTTGTTGTTGTTGTTGTTTAGTTTACAGAATCTAACCTTGTCTTCCTATAATATTCCTCTTTTTCTGCAGGGTATTTTGTATTAAGTTTAGCTGTGATGCAACTTATGTTATTTCTGGGAGTGATGACGCCAACCTCAGGCTTTGGAAGGCCAAAGCATCAGAGCAGTTGGGAGTTGTAAGAATCGCTTCCTTGGATCACGTTTTCCCTGTCAACGTTGTTTACTCATTTTGCTACTAGTGAAAATTTGATTTTGGCTTGATAAAAACGCTTACATTTCATCTTGAAACTTTGCAGCATCCTTTTTTGTCTTTCGTGAAAATTCTCTACTTCAGTTGTTCAAAACCAGTTTTCTTGCCTTTGAAATTCTAACTAAACGCTGAACCTTTTTGTCACCCTGCAGCTTCTTCCAAGGGAACAGAAAAGGCACAATTATCATGAGGCCCTGAAGAATCGCTACAAGCACCTTCCAGAAGTCAAGCGTATTGTGCGGCACAGGCACCTTCCGAAACCAATATTCAAGGCGGCTGCTCTAAGGCGCACCGTGATGGAGGCGGTGAGAAGAAAAGAAGAGAGGAGGAAGGCACACAGTGCCCCTGGAAGTGTTACTACAAAACCACTACGTAAAAGAAGAATCATAAAAGTAGAAGAGTAACAGGAAAAAAAAAAAAAAGTGCATGTCCGTAATGAGGAATCTTTTTTGCTGGAAAGAAGAATTAATCCCATTTGACTGCAGAGTACACTTCCCACATGGCCAAAAGAGAGATTCTAGAAGACGTTGCAAAAATTGGAAAATCCAGAAAAAGAAGTCAGATAAAGACCAACCAACCAAAGCTCGTGATAGAGATTTCAGCAGAGTTTGTGACATAGTTGTTAAGCGTAATTTATTTTATGTTATTTTATTTTATTTTTTTAAATTAGGAGCTGGATTTCTTTTGCATGCCTAGTCCAAATACAAAGCTTCTCATGTATCCAATTTTGGCTGAACTACAAAACTTTGCCTAGTGATAATTTGCTCCCTTTTTATGATTGGTTTTCCTGTTTGGTTGCTTGAAACACAGCGGGTCTTAGCGCCAACGTCTGTACAGCTGTTTGGTTAGGATGAAAGGTGGAGGGAAAATAAAGTAGAAGGGAAAAAGAAATGAAAGGGTCAAACGGTTTAATCTAAAGGTATTAACTTGGTATAATATAAAGTTATCTTATTATAGATTAATGGTCTAACTGTTTATATATATTGAGAGGACTAGCTCGCTTCTCATTAAACTCTTAATGATCCAGATTATTTGGATATTTTATTCCTTCATCAATTAACAGGGAGGGTTAGAGAAGGTGTCTATAATTAAGTTCTGTCAAAAGCGTCACTATTGATATAAATCACGTTATGTCACAGTAATTTTTCCTTTTATTTTGTGAAAGAGTAGTGCTATGGACACCAACTTAAATATTAACTTTTGTGTATCAATTAATGTGGTATATAAGTTATCTTTTTATTAGTATATGTAATCTTTTATTATTAATTGACGTGACAATGTTTTAAACACTCACTAATGTAAAAATGACAACTCATATGTCACATTAATTGATACACAAGAGTTAAAATTTGAATTGGTGTTCCTAGCATTTTTTTTTTTGTGTGTGAAAATAATTGTTAGCAAGATCTACTACCAGTTATTTTCTGTAATTATTAATTTACATTTGAGAGAATCCACTGCTTTTATTAGTTGTGAGAAAAAAATATTGAAATATAATCAAAACTATGGGTTTAAACCTATGTAGAACCCTGAACCCATATACTAAACATACCATTCATTGTCCATTAAAAAAAAATTAAAATTCCCTTAAAAAAAGGCTGTAATCTTCAAACAGTCGAGGGCATAATCTATCCAGAAAATGAAGTAATACATGATCATTAACTTGTTCTTTTTTAGCTTAATTGCTCAATAACGGTAGTCTAAGATTAAAATGTTTAAATGTATTTCGTTATCTTCCCAAACCAAACTAATTTGACAGGTTCTACTAAATTTTTAGATAGTCTTTCATAAAAATCCTTTGAAAGTGCACAAGTCAGAATTTTTACCATTTACTCTTAATTCATAACCTTTTTAGTTAAATAATTACACTAATAAAAGGACATTTATCAATAATAAAAGGTAAAGATCTAGACTCATGCACTCTCAAAGATAAATTCTCCATTTTTTTCTAAATTTTAAGGCAAGTTTAATTCTCTTTTCCAAGTGAACCAAGTAATTTGTCTCAGCAAAATCTCAATCATATTCGAATGCGAGATCAATCTAAATTCCAAAAAAGTGCACATCAGCCACAACAAAAATAAAAAAACAAAAACAAAAAGCCCCATAAATACCTATTTGGGGTCATGTATGATTTTACATGGATAAATCTTGTCACAATGAGATGTTACTACAATGGAATAAAAGAATTAGTTTCCACAATGTTGTTAAAATGCATTGTATGAATACATATCCGTGGTTGGAACAAGATAGCTTCGAGTCGAATTGAATCTCTGTAAGCACATATCCAACAGCCAAATAATACAGCCATCACAGGAGTCTCCTTGGGCAAGGACTTGAATGAACAACGCCATTTGAGTATTCTGCTTCAGCAGGCAAAGTCGGTCTGCACTAGGAGAGTGGAGAGTGGAAGCAGCCCTTTATGCGGGCTCTAATCGAATTGACATTGTGAGAGTTTCGTTACTATTATTATCATGTAAAAGGGTAGAAGTTAGAGAAGAGCAAACTGCCGAGAAGAATGTAGGCCGCAGAATATGCCCAGATCATATATCCCCACCTCCGACTACTAGGAGATCTCATTAAATAGGATGCGAACCAATAAAGAGATGGGCTGGAAGATAAGAAACGAGTAGCAACCTGTCGAATGTCACTCGTCAGAAGAACAATCCACCATAATTTTAGTTCAGAAATAAATGAAAATAACAATGCAAGATAAATACTTGTATTACATACAATAGAAAGACAATTACTAAATCTCATTGAGCCAATGAGGTACTTTTACTAAATTTTGTCAACAGCATAGCAAATTGGGGACAAATCAAAGAGACACTAACCTGCACATGCATGACAAAGAATGCTGTAGCTGCGAGAAATCCCAGGTGTAGAATAGACGGAAGAACAAACACGGACAAGTACCCTATTGTTTCTGTTGATTCAAAATTTTCTGAGGGAAGAGTAGGAACGTCTTCTCTGATAATTTGCTTCCTTGGTCTAGTATTGTTATTATCTATAAGACACAAAAAAAAAAAAAAAAGTGTTAAAAATATGTCAAATAATGAACTACAAAGCAATTTGTGTTCAAAATTAATACCCTGTATCTTAGAAGAGGCTTTCCTTCTAGTTTGAGTTAGATTTGACCGCAGATCTACATCTGGAGTAAAAAGTACAGCCGCAGAATTCTTATCTTTAATAGAAGCACGGAAACCCAAAGAGAAGAACTTTTCAGGCACCGATTTTGCATAATGGACAAATGAGCAAAGTGCCAGAGATAAAACAGGGGATGCAAGTAGAAAATTTGGCAACTGTTTGAACTGGAAATACCGCAAGAAGCCTACCCCCCTGTCATATAAAACGATCAATAAGAACGTTCAATCAAATAAATTTCTTCTTTCTTACAAGGCTGAAAAGAATAAGACTCCATAGATGTAGATGGGATTAGCCCAATGGCCATGCCCTACAAAACTAAAGCAACTGAAATAGAACCCCAATCTGTACATTCAGCTATAATTTTCTAATGGGTTGTTTGGTTGGGGGATTCGTACCCCGATTCGAATCATAGTTCATGGTTCGCTACAGTGTCCTCTCACAAAAAATACACGTAAATCAAAAATGGTTCTAATCTTATGATTCTAATCCATGAACCAAACGTCTCCTACTGCAACTATGTTCAACTGGGTTTTTAAACTAGTCTTTCTACAAAAAAGGGGTAAAAAATCAAGAACATAAAATTAGTAATCTATCCATGTGTATATGTGTGTGTGTGTGTTTATTTAATGAAGAGACCACCCATAGTCGAAGGATAGGAAAATATACCAGTAATGACTCTGAATATAGTTGTACAGCAAGGGCACCCTAGCTTTGCACCAGGGTCTCAGTTTTTCAGGAGAATCTCCCACACAAATATTGTAGTATCCATACGCTTGAAATGCAAAAACTGGGACAAAAATACAGATACAATGCAGAGCTCCGCTAACAACAACCTGCACAACCAGCTGGCATAGAAGAGCAAAATTATGATGAGACAAAATATTCTCATTCATAAGAAGAAAAACAATTACATGCTTTGCTCCACATGCTACATAGTTGAGAATCTCAACATGATATCAACATGTAGTATATCTTTCTTCATTTTCTTGCGGGAGGGAATGTATCGATTATTTCAATATCATGTTTAAATCCACTTAAAGGAGTGGTTCTAATAAGAGCTGTTTAGATTTCGCTATCTTGGTATGTCCTTTGATGACAAGGAAGTCCATGCCGATGAAAGGGCAGAAACATCTAATATTCCAACGAGTTACTGGGATTTTTATCAACTATCAAGAGGTTTATAGGTAAAGGAAGTTTAGCTGTGCAAAGATGGTCCACTAAATAAGATATTAGTCCACTCAAATCAGCAAAAAACATGCAATGAACACTTACAAAAGTACTCTTTCTGAGTACAGCATTATATGTCCGACGCATAGTTTGGAAACAGATGTAACCTGCATTGATCACTCCATTGGACCTTGCAAATCCAGAAAGAGCAAACCAAAGAACGGCAATATTATTTCTCCCAGATCTCAAGTGATACAATCCTCCAATTGAAAATAGAGCATACAAACTCTCCGAATATCTGTATGGGCAAAAAGGCAAAACGAAAATCTCAGCTTTGTAATCTTTTACAGCAATCAATTTAGAACGGAAAACAGAAACAACTATTACATTGAGGAATAAAATATGGAAGCTGGATTGAAGCAAAACAAGATTGAAGCTCTAAATGCCGCATCCCGGTCCTTCAAAATGGCAACTGAAAGCCTATTACAGTGACCAAAAAAAAAAAGTGCAAGACATCAGAATTCAGACTAAAAAACTATGACAGTTGTAACAAAGCTTGACAAAGTTTCTAAATTTATAGTGCTAAATAACTTACTGATAAAAGTAAACCGCTGCAAAGACAAAGGCAATGTTGTTGATCACATAACCGGATAGTCCCAAAACAGCTCTTTGCCCTATAACTGGAACCAATGGAGCAAAAACTGAAACAGAAATCCGCCATTAAATCACAATGTCGAATGAAACGAAGAGAATTACAAAATATTAGGTACAAATCGAAAGCCCGAATCTTTGGGGGCGAACCTGTTCGCGAGAAGAAGGAGATGCAAAGGGGAAGCAGAGGCAGGAAGGCGTAGGACTGCTCGTACTCGTAGCCGCACTGCGCGATCCGGACGAAGTAGACGCTGTCCCAGACGATGCTGGACTCGATTGCGGACGCCAAGGAAGGCCAAAGAAGGCGCTGCTCTTGAGGCGGCGGCGAGGTGGTGTTGGAAAGGCAGTTGGGGTTGAGCGGCGCGGAGGTGTCATAGGGGCTGAGGAGGCTCCGCCATATGAGGATTAAGGTCAGAAGGAGGAGCCTCGAGAGAAGTGCCGATTTGAGGACGGTGATCCGCTGGTGGTGGTGGTCTTGGGGTTTCGGTGAGGTTTTTTTGGTGCGATTCATGGCGGTGATCTTGGGGTTTCGCGACGGGGTTCTCGGCGGCGGCGGTTTGCAGAGGGACGCCTCTTTCTCAGCGTTGGCATGAGGTCTGGTCTATATGGGGTATTTGGGTCTTTTCATGTGATTGTCACGTGCGGAAAACCGTCCATAAAGTAGTATACTGTTAATTAGAAAATAGTAGAAAATATGAAAATGTTAAGAAAATATATTGGTCAATTTTTAGTTATCGAAATTAATAGACTATAATTTATTAAGTTATGATTTATAATTAAATAAATTATGAATAAATTTATCAAGTTATGATTTATAATTAGATAAATTATAAATAATTATAAACAATAATTTATTAAATTATAGTTTATAATTAGATAAATTATCGATAAAAATAATAATTTAACATACTTATGTAAACTATTAATATATTAATTTTAATTCATCTCTTAAGCTTATTTCCCTCTTTCTCCTCTGTTAATTTTAGTTTAGGATTCGGTTAAACCTGAGCCCAAACAGCCCCCTTAATTCATAAACCCTAGTCCCTCCCTACAACCTCGTCACTCTGTTCTGTTCTGTTATGCTCAAAACCCTCAGGCTCAATACCCGACGCTCCTTCGGTTCTGAATATTCGATCACCAATGGCCGCCAGATCCATTTTACGGTCGGTCTCTTCCCGCGGCGGAGCCGCCGCGCTTTTTGCCTCCGAAGCCAAAGCGGCGCGCGCTCCATTTCGTATGGCAGCCAGGAAACCTCTCTCTCAACGCGTTCTCAGGTATATATAGTATTGTCATTTGATTTTCTGCGGAAACATTCGACGCCGTTTTTCGCTGAATTTGTTTTATCGTTTCTTGCGAGTTTAATTGAGCTATCTTTTTGAGTTCGTACTGGATAGGAATTTAAATAGTATCTGTTTGGAGATGGTGAATTATGAAGAGAAATTGTAAAAGTGTTGATTTTGTGTTGAAGGTCTCCCGTTGAGATGAGCTTCTGTGTGGAGTCGATGCTTCCGTACCACACAGCCACGTCGTCGGCTCTGATGACCTCGATGCTTTCTCTCACCCGCCGCAGTTGCGGTTGGCTTCCGGAAGGTATTTTCAGTTTATACTCCCAAGCCTCAACATTTTTATGTGAAATTTTGATCACTCTTGAGTTTTAATCAAATGGAAATTGTGTTTAGAACGAATCTTTGTGTTGCTCAATGTTTTAGTTGTGAATTGTTGTTTTCTCTTCTGCTTGATAATGTTGTTTGCCGGTACCCGTCTTGTTAAATTCGTTTTCGGGGATAGCAATTTGGTGTAAATTGACGTTTGGATCGATAATTGTAGTGCATGCTTAGGAAGTAAGTACCATTAAGTTTTCAGGTGGAATCAACTGAATATATGTCGTGAATGGGGCGTCCTTTTGCATGATTGTTTGCTTATAGTTATGTCAACATAAGTTCTTAGAATTAGAAATGGATGTTTAAGATTTAGATGATGATGATGATGATTGGGGTAATCCGAAACGTAATCATATGTGCAACACTATTATTTTTCCTGTAAGAAGATTAAGGCGTGACTTGACTTAAAAGGAACCAGAGGCATATACAAAGAACTTTGTAATTAGTAAGAGGCACATGAATGGAGTTTTTGGTTATCAAAGCAAACAACTAGAGAATTTTATGATACAGCATTTTTGCCTTTGGGGATTTCTAGGTTTTTAAAATTTGTATATTTTGCTTACGTGTAGTAGTCTTTTTTCTTTTGTGTTCATCGTCAACAGAGTTTTGCTTCTAGGTTCCTAACCAAGTGGGTTTTTATTCTTGAATTAGGTATCTAGCGATCATTTGTAGGACTCGTTGATGTCATTTTCTTCCTTCTAAATGTCTGGTAAGTGAGTGATTTTTGATGGTGTGTTAAACTAAATGTACTGGAAAAAGAATTAACAACTAAGTTGAATAACAAGAATTGATTCAGATATCTTAGGCATGGGGACATGTTCAATGTTAAATTTATTTCGTAATCGGCTATTCTATTTGCGCCCTTTCCTTTCCCCTTTTTTCATAAATATATTGATTGGGCCCCTTAGCCAAGTTTGGTGGCGTATTTATGCCATATCTCTTCTGTTTTCACCCTCTGTTTATTTGTTAGAAGCTCAATCTGTTGTCTGTTAATCCTGTATGTTTAGTGAAAAGGTGTCCACTCCTCTTCTTGTTGTAGGCCAAGACAAGACTAGATGAAGAGCAAGAAGTGAAGATGGAGTGACTTGGATTTCTTAACTTTCTCAAGATTTTAAATTTGTAGGGATGATATCGTCTTAATGTATGGGCACAATAGGTTTATTTTCGAGAGCAATGATTAAACATCATCTAGAGCGATAGATTCTTCTAAAATGTTGTTCTTTGAGAGGATCCATTGATTTATGGATATGATATTGATGATGCATTTTTCCGTAGTTTGTTTTTCCTGGAATAAATTCATGTTGGCTGTGAATTTATAACTTTTTTACTTTTCTGATAATTGATTTCATAGCTTTGGCTATTTGCGAGTCTAGATAATACCGTTTGGTTCCAGTTGTGATATTGTTTTGAACTAATTAAGAATGTTAGGATAAATGTAATAATTGAGGTCATTACTAATCAATTTTATTTAATCAGCTTGCAATGATGATGTGTGATGATTGTTCCAAGGGTTGAATTCGAGCAAGCTTTTTGAACTAAATTCTTCATTCTCAGGCAGTGACACCTCATAAACTTAGGAGTATCGGTATGAGCCGCAGAAGAGACAAGTTCCATGTCATGAGCTGCTAAATCTAGATCAAATAGTAGGCCTTAGTGTCGTTTTTTTCTCCAGAGCAGAACAAGACTGCCCTCTCCTTTTCTGTTTTGCGATTGCTCAATAGTAGTAGTACACCACTCTAAATGGGGGGAATGTAATGCGGAATACTAAATTTAGTACTTATATTGATCTATGATTTTTGATTGATGTGAATGAAACATAGCATCTTGCAATAACCCCATAAAATGCTCTATTTTTATTAGTCAATAAGAAGTGCAAAGAAAATCTATTATCCTTTAGTATTGTGGTAGCCGTTTCAGATTGCCACGACAAGCTGACTTGTGTTTATACCTTTTGTTTATCTATTCGCAGATTCCTGAGGAATGCAGACCCGTTTCCCCATTTATGATCACCACCTCAGCTTTATATGTAGTTTTTTTTTCCCCTTCTTGTCATAATTAAATTTGGATTCATTTATCATATCTCCATGGTTTATTTGTTATGAGAGGGGGCAGGACTCTATCCATTGGCTACAACGCAAGAGAAGTGCCAAGTACTTGTTTTTTTGCGCAAATAGGATATTAATATATAGATTTGTTGTTAATAATGAAAAGTACCTGTTTTTTTTGCGCAAATAGGATATTAATATATAGATTTGTTGTTAATAATGAAGGATATCACATTAGTTGAGCATGCGGGCTAATACATAACCTTTAAAAAACTTGCAATGTTGAGGTGTATAATCGCATAATACTTGTACTATCTCTAATGCAAATGCTATATTTAACACAAAAGTTGTGAAATAATATTAGTTGATCTATTTTGTGCTCCAAGTTTAAAGAAAAGAAAAGAGAAAACCATCTCCAATTTCAATGTTATTTTTGGCATTGAAAGGAAAAAAAAATAAAAAAAAAAGTAGCGTATGAGTGTGTTAAATGCAAAGGTTAAGCACAATGTTATTTCAAATGTTATAAAATATTAATTCTTAAATAAAAAAAACAACGCTAGCAACTATTAGATGTTCTTCCCTTCCTCCTCGCTTCCTTCTTTATTCTCACAGTAACATATACTTTTGCACACCTTTTTTTTTTTTTTTTTAAATAAACTTTCCATTCAATATATTTAATCGCTTAACAACTAAAATTTGATGATTGTTTTTTTTTCAAATGAAAAATTGATGATTGTGAGCAAACCTAAAAATTGATTATTAAAGTATGGAAAATTATACCTGCTGATTAGATCTAACAAATATTACTATTATGTACAACTTTAAGAAGGGATTTAAGCACAAATGGTTCTTTTCGAAGGATTTTTTTTTTTTAACTGGCTGAAGTTTTGGAAAACTACAAAATGATCGTTTCTATTAACTTATTGTCAATCACTAATTGACTTAGTAGTCTATTACTGATTGATTTAGTGGTCAATTATTAATATTGACTTAGCGTCAATCACTAATTGATTTTATTGTATAACTGATTAACTCGATGATTCTTTATTATTAATCAATATCAGTTACTAATTAACCAAAATCAATTAATAATTAATCAATTTCAATCAATAAGTTATAGGTTTATTAATAATAAATCATTAATAAATTATGGAACAATCATTAATTAACTGTGAGTCAATTATTGATTGACTCTTAAAAAGGATCATTTTTGTAAAATAAAAATATTAATAAATTATGGATCAATCATTAATTAACTGTAAGTCAATTATTGATTGACTCTTAAAAAGGATCATTTTTGTAAAATAAAAAAATTCGGCCATTTTCATAAAATAAAAAGATCCATTTAGCTAATTTTTTCCTTTAAGAAACTGTATGTAATATGTGAACTTTGTTTTTCTTCTTCTTTTTTTTTTTTAAGAGAAACTAATTTTCATGTTTATTCATATTTTATCGAGATTTTTTATTTTCTGAATAATAATATGTCAACACAACTTTTACTAAATTGTATGTACTAGATATACGAATAATTAATTATGAGTTTTTTTTTTTCGAGTTTCTTATTTGTTTTGATTTATGATATTTGGTACTGTGAGGAAAACTTAAGCAAAGTTCTGAAACATTTGAGGGACATACCGAAAAAAATAAGTAAACTACATGATATTAATTTTATCTTTATTTTAAAAAATAATATTCAGTTTTCACGTTTTGTTGGAGTTGTAAATTTCAACCGAATTAACTAACTGGGCTTGTTTTGGTCCCGTCTGTTTAAATAATATTCATATTCAGCTCAGCTATAGTTTTGATAATGTTAAAAATATTTTTTTCCGGGCCGACCTGGCGAGCTCGAATTGAGATAGTCCAAATTTACACCTCTACATTTTATACTACGAAATTAAATATTTTAACATTTGTTATTTGTATACATGTCTAACATATATGTAATTTTTTTAAAAAAATTAATACATAGGTTGTTGTAGTTTGTGTAGGCCTATTATAGGTAAATTATAAGAAATAGGCCTACATTTAAAACTTATGGAAGTAAATGACCAATTTATCAATGTATAGAAATTAATAGACCATTTCATGGGTTTAATTTTTAATTTTCTAATTTTACCCTTTTCTTGTTATTTTTCCCCTTTCCTTTGGTTAATCTAGGTGTATCCAAAATTTATCAAGTTAGAATCACTTAAAGAAGAATAATACAAATTCTGAATATACCTGGTAAATTCATGATTTACGAAATTCATATTACTAGGGGGAAAATGTACAAATTCTAATGGTAAATCTCGGATATACCTGGTAAATCTAAGATTTACCAAGTTCGTACTAATATAGAAAAAGTGAAAAATCTAATGGTAAATCTTGGATATACCTGATAAATCCCGAATTTACCAAGTTCATATTAGTAGGAGAAAAGAACACTACAAATTATAATGGTAAATCCTTGATATTCGTATTAGTAGGAAAAGAGTGAAAAATCTAATGGTAAATCTTAAATATACCTGGTAAATCTTGGATATATCTAGTAAATCTGAATTTACTAAGTTCGTATTATGATGGAAAAAGAAAAAAATCTAATGGTAAATCCCGGATTTACCAAGTTCGTATGACTAGAGGAAAAGAACACTACATATTCTAATAGTAAATCTCATATATACTTGGTAAGTATTGACTTAATCAAGTTCGTATTACTAGGAAAAAACTGAAAAATCTAATGGTAAATCCCAGATAAACATGTTAAATCCCGGATATACCATGTTCGTATTTACTTGGGGAAAAGAACACTATATATTCTAATGGTAAATCTTGGATATACTTGGTAAATTCTAGATTTGCCAAGTTTGTATTACTAGGGAAAAAGTAAAAAATCTAATGGTAAATCCCGAATATACCTGGTAAATTTTAGATTTACCGAGTTTATATTAGTAGAGGAAAAGAACACTAAATTCTAATGGTAAATCCCGGATATACCTGGTATCACCAAGTTCATGTTAGTAGGGAACAAGTGAAAAATCTAATGGTAAATCCCGATTATAAATGATAAATCAAAGACTTACCAAGAGGGTATTTTTGAAATTTCATTTGGTTGTAAATCTAGATTTACATCACCTTGGCCTATTAACTTTTCTTATATATTGGCCTATTAATTTTAATTCCTCTCAAATCTTGGCCTATTTTCCTCAATCTCCCTTATTCATGTCATTCTAAATAATTGGTATTATTGTGACCTTTTGTTTTCTTTTTATTAATTAAATACTAATTTATTTTTAAATGGAGTGATATAAATAATATTTTTTACAATCTTAAGTGGTATTTATAGTTTTTTCCTTTAAGTTTTTTTTTTCTCTGAAACATATATGTAATTATATGCATTCGTAGTACATGGTTTTTTCCTAATTTGTTTTTGATGTGAAACATATATGTAATTATATGTGAAATATCATTACGAATTAATTTAGAGACTTATGTGCAAAAATCACAACTCATAGTTATGGACACACTTTTTTTTTTTTCGTCAAAAATAGGCATATATGTTGTAAGAGTAAGTTCAACCATGCTAATAGTTAATGATTTAACTTTTTTTTTTTTTTTTAATTTTTCTCCGCTCCAACAATTAGCTAAATGGTTAACTATTTTACATAATCTAACTATTAGCTAAATGGTTAGCTATTTCACGTAATGTCTTCCACACTAACTAAATATAGCTAGTATGGAGTAGCTAACCATTCCACTTTTTGTATTATTTTATACTTTCAACTGTAATAAATGCAAAGGTTCTTTTGTAAATTCATAAAATTATTTATATTTTAAATTCAATAAATATTAAAATAATCTATATAAAGAAAGAAATTGAGAGAGAATTCCAGAGAAAGAGAGTGGAAGAAGGAATAGTCTGGCCAGCTACTGGAAGTGTGTCTTCGGTTAGCCTAAAATAAAGTCATGTGCTCTACGTCGGCCGATCTACACGATGGTGGGGTCCGTGTTTGTGTTTTCTTCTCTTTTTTTTTTAGTTTTTGTGGAATAAAGGCAGTCATTTTGTCAGTGTTGGTGTATGTTTTTCCTCACAAATCGCTAGATCTGTGTGGCGTTTGGTTATCTTTATTGTTTTTGGTTGTGTTCCCCCACCAAGCTATAACCTTGTGTGGGTTTTGTGTTGTTTTTTTATCTTCTATATGTCTTTAGCCAAATCTCTTGCTTTGGCGAGCTTGATCTGGAAGAATACTGGCATTCAAAAATTAGTCTTTGCAGAGAGTTTGCTACAGCCCTTTCGGGAGAGCCAATTGTGGAGGGAGAATTAAATAAGCCAAGAGAAGTGCTCCAAATTATGGGGCCTTGGATCCCTATACTACGACACCAACAGATCTACCAATTTTGGTTTGCTATATCAAGTTTTCTATATTGAGTTTTCTGTAAGCTTCATGGTTTGTTAATTAATGAAACATTTTTTACATTTTTAAAAAAATTTATATTTAATTAAAATAGAAAGTATGATTAGAGTGACTAACTAAAAAGTTATTAAGTTAAATATTTTTCTAGCCATTTTAGTTAGAACACTAAATTTTAATGGTAAATCCCGGATATACCTGGTATCACCAAGTTCATGTTAGTAGGGAACAAGTGAAAAATATAATGGTAAATCCCAATTATAAATGATAAATCAAAGATTTACCAAGAGGGTATTTTTGAAATTTCATTTGGTTGTAAATCTAGATTTACATCACCTTGGCCTATTTATTAACTTTTCTTATATATTGGCCTATTAATTTTAATTCCTCTCAAATCTTGGCCTATTTTCCTCAATCTCCCTTATTCATGTCATTCTAAATAATTGGTATTATTGTGACCTTTTGTTTTCTTTTTATTAATTAAATACTAATTTATTTTTAAATGGAGTGATATAAATAATATTTTTTACAATCTTAAGTGGTATTTATAGTTTTTTCCTTTAAGTTTTTTTTTTCTCTGAAACATATATGTAATTATATGCATTCGTAGTACATGGTTTTTTCCTAATTTGTTTTTGATGTGAAACATATATGTAATTATATGTGAAATATCATTACGAATTAATTTAGAGACTTATGTGCAAAAATCACAACTCATAGTTATGGACACACTTTTTTTCGTCGATTGAAAAATAGGCATATATGTTGTAAGAGTAAGTTCAACCATGCTAATAGTTAATGATTTAACTTTTTTTTTTTTTTTAGTTTTTCTCCGCTCCAACAATTAGCTAAATGGTTAGCTATTTTACATAATCCAACTATTAGCTAAATGGTTAGCTATTTCACGTAATGTCTTCCACACTAACTAAATATAGCTAGTATGGAGTAACTAACCATTCCACTTTTTGTATTATTTTATACTTTCAACTGTAATAAATGCAAAGGTTCTTTTGTAAATTCATAAAATTATTTATATTTCAAATTCAATAAATATTAAAATAATCTATATAAAGAAAGAAAGTGAGAGAGAATTCCAGAGAAAGAGAGTGGAAGAAGGAATAGTCTGGCCAGCTATTGGAAGTGTGTCTTCGGTTAGCCTAAAATAAAGTCATGTGCTCTACGTCGGCCGATCTACACGATGGTGGGGTCTGTGTTTGTGTTTTCTTCTCTTTTTTTTTTAGTTTTTGTGGAATAAAGTCAGTCATTTTGTCGGTGTTGGTGTATGTTTTTCCTCACAAATCGCTAGATCTGTGTGGCGTTTGGTTATCTTTATTGTTTTTGGTTGTGTTCCCCCACCAAGCTATAACCTTGTGTGGGTTTTGTGTTGTTTTTTTATCTTCTATATGTCTTTAGCCAAATCTCTTGCTTTGGCGAGCTTGATCTGGAAGAATACTGGCATTCAAAAATTAGTCTTTGTAGAGAGTTTGCTACAGCCCTTTCGGGAGAGCCAATTGTGGAGGGAGAATTAAATAAGCCAAGAGAAGTGCTCCAAATTATGGGGCATTGGATCCCTATACTACGACACCAACAGATCTACCAATTTTGGTTTGCTATATCAAGTTTTCTATATTGAGTTCTCTGTAAGCTTCATGGTTTGTTAATTAATGAAACATTTTTTACATTTTTAAAAAAATTTATATTTAATTAAAATAGAAAGTATGATTAGAGTGACTAACTAAAAAGTTATTAAGTTAAATAATTTTCTAGCCATTTTAGCTAGAATTTAGCTAAAATTTAGGCTCCGTTCACTTCGCCGATTCGAATTTAGAATTCGAGTTTTGCTACAGTAAAAAGCTCTCAGAAACAGTCACATCTAACTTTTTTACTACAGTAAAAAGCTCTCACATAACATCACATCTTAACTCGAATTAAAAACTCGAATCAGCGAACTAAACGGGCCCTTAGAGAGCTCAATCGGAGATGGTCTAAGTAATTAAAGCTTGTTCATTTGCATTTTTTGAGTTTGGGTGACTTGAGTTCAAATCTTGATTTGAGTTAAGGGTCTCGTTCAGGTGTATTTGACTATGGTTTGAGTTGAGACTCTAATTTGAGTCTGTATTCGGATATGCACATTTTGAGTTATGGTTTGAATTGAGAATCTATTTAAGTTTGTGTTTGGGTGGATCAAAACTTAAATTTGTATTTGGATAGTATTTTAATAAAAACTCAATGGTGATGGATAATTTTAATAGGGTTAATGGGTGAGCTTTTATTTATCTTTTCGTTGTGAACACATAGAAAAAAATCATCTCAATCGGAATTAAAACGAAAAAGTTATGACGTTTTTAATAATAGAAAAAAGATTGTTCATTAACTTGAGTTGAAGGGGAAACTTGTACTCAAATTTTAGCCCAAACTCAAGTTAAAACTTGAGTTAAAATTCAAATTTTACAAAAGAACCTAAACTTAAATAAAATTATAATTTGAGTTCAATTTTTTTTTTTTTGAGTTTTAGTGAAAAAAAAAAAAAAGTCCTAACTCTTTTTGAGATCCGAAGAGGAGTTTCCCTCTGTATTCTAAATGGCCTAAATCTTAGCTTAAAGCCCAGTAGAAAGAACCCGACCGAAGCCCAACCCCAAAATCTACAAAATGTCCCAAATCAGAGCTAGAATTAGGGTTAAACGCATTTTCGTCCACAAAGGCTTGCGTGATTCTTCCGCCTCTGCGATTCGGGACTACCATGGCGACGGCGACGACCAACGCGACCGGGATGGTGACGGAGAAGAGAAAGCCGGTGTTCAAAACGGTGGATCAGCTCAAACCAGGCACGAGCGGCCACACCTTGACGGTAAAAGTAGTGAGCTCGAAGCCTGTCAAGGTCGGAAACAGAGGAACCGGCCGATCGTCGGCGATGGTCATGAATCGGCCCTCGCAACCCACTCGTATTTCCGAATGCCTCGTCGGAGACGATACTGGGACCATTCTATTTACTGCTCGCAATGACCAAGGTAAATCAAGTTTTGATCTTTTTTAGTGAAGTCTGTAGATTTATGGATAGATTTTTTTGGGGGTTTTGTTTTTAGGCTTTTCGTTTTTTTGTGTTATGTTGTTTGCTTTTTTAGGTGTTTGGGTTAAAAGAAAAAAAAGGTTACTGATTTTGGGTTGTTCTCTGATTTTAGGTCTTTGATGATATCTGTTTGTTTGGTTATCGAGGAAATGTGGGAACTGAAAAGCAAGAAAAACCCAAAAAGTTTTATGCGTTTTGCTTTTATCAGCTTAGAACTATGAGATTTTTGGGTTTCATTAAGGTAGTAAAGGATTTCTCTTTTGGTATTTTCTGTAATTTACGCATATACCTCTGTAGCAGAGTTCTTAAAAGTTATGATTTTTGGCTAGTTTGATAAAGTTTTGAACTTGCTTTAGTAACATTTGTAAACGCAAAATGGGTAATGATGTTTTCAATTTCAGTATTCACACTTCAAGGAAAGAAAAACAAATTGTCCTTTCAAGGAAAGAACTAGCAAATGCTTATGCTTTCAATTTATTTGGCAAGTATTCTAATTTAATCGTTATTGAGTAATTATATGATGCCGTTGTTAGTTATTAACGGTTTGTTTTGCCTTTGCAGTTGATATTATGACACCTGGCACTACTGTGATTCTGCGTAACGCAAAGATTGACATGTTCAAGGGGACGATGAGGCTAGCAGTTGACAAATGGGGACGTGTTGAAGTAACTGAGCCTGCTAACTTTGAAGTTAAGGAGGATAATAATCTCTCCTTAGTTGAATATGAATTGGTTAATGTTGACAACTAGTTATTAATGCTAGAAAGAGTGAGAGGTATATTTATATGGGAGTGAATATTTTGAAGTTTCTGAAGGTTGCATTTGTGTTTCTGACCTTGGCTTGAACTATTAACTGGGATGCTATTTTTATATATGGTTTACCCAAATTTTGCTGAAGAGAGTCTCAGATGGGATTTGATTTGATTTGAAAAAGGGTCTTCAATGCATTTTAGATATCCAACTTGGGGGGGAATGTACCATTGTATGGTTATCCTTTTGATAATATGCGTGTTCTGTATGTTGTAAATCTTGTTATATAAATTAAGCTAATATACACTATCACAAGGTTGTTATGGTACCTGTCACAGTTGTAAGATCCTAGGTAGATTTTAACTCTGTGGAACTTCTTGTGAGTTTTAGGTCTTCTAGTATGTTTTTATGGTTTCTGGTTTGCTATTGCTCTGAATGTTGAATATCAAAACAAGCCAGGTTTGGAGGATGTGTTCTTTAAACTTTCATGCACTTAATATGAAATCCAATAATTACATTGAGACTTTCTGCAGCAGGGCCTGCCCACCGGTAGAGTTTGTTACTGATTATTGGATTTGGTCAAAATCACATCTGATTGAACAAGTATGCAAAATAGGCAGATTTTGATATAGATTTGATAGTTGTAAGTAGGGAATTTGTCCGATAGTTCAATTTTTTTCCCTCACCAGAAAACTCTTTTATTTTTTTTATTTTATTTTTTTTTCTGAAAGGAAGAGAATCTCCCTATTACATTTCCTGCGTGATGCATAACAGAGGATTTTGTTTGTTAGTGGAGCTGTGCATCAGGTTGTGTATATAGTCTGTTGCCTCATTCATGTGCATGGTAGAGTATGAGGCGCTTAGGGAGAAGCTTTTGGAAGTTTTTCTTGACGGTTGGCTTAATGTGAGGAACTTAAATTGTTTATTTTAGTATTCTAACTGTTAAGAGAAAGTATAACTTGTTTTTTTCTTTTTAGAAAAGAGTTTTAACTTTTTTTTTTCTGTATAATTTATTATCTTCCAAATTGGATGGTTTGCCCACCCCTAGAAAAGGATTAGGGCCTAATGTGTGCGCCTGTGACCTACGGATACGAATGTCAGACTGAAAAACCCGCTCCGTGCGAGCTTCATTTTGCAATTTTTTCTTTTTATTTTTTCCAACTAAAATCCGAAACTGCTGCATTAGTGGTTGATTAACTCTGCATTAGTGTAGGGTGCAGAAATTGCAACAATAACCATTGGTTTATGGACATTTAACCTCCAAATCTAGTCATACTTAGGAGCATATGCCTCTGGAATTTCAGAGGCTATAACCTCTAAATTGAATCACCATCAAGATGTGAATAAATTGCCTTTATTCACCTTTATTCCAGCCTTGTAACATCCGCTGCTACAGAACATGTGGGGGGAAGCCATTTTATCGGCTAATTACCTTTTGAATAAGGTTCCGCGTAAGAAAGTTGATAAAACCCCTATGAATTGTGGAAAGGAAGGTAACCTTCCTACAAATACTTGAAAGTGTGGGGGTGTTTGGCCAAGGTAATGACTCCAACACCAAAGAAGATGAAGATAGGTCCGAAAACGGTTTATTGCATCTTCATTGGGTATGCTCATAACAGTACCGCATATCGGTTCCTTGTGCACAAATCTAAAAATCCTGACATACACGAAAAACACGATAATAGAGTCTAGGAATGCATTGTTCTTTGAACATGTATTTC